AAGTGACCTAAGTGGTTTAAAACAAACAAAAGGAAGTATTTTTTCACACAACGCAGTCAACCTGTGGAACTCCTTGCCAGAGGATGTTTTGAATGCCAAGGCTACAACAGGGTTCAAAAAAGAATTAGATACGTTCATGGAGGATCGGTCCATCAGTAGCTATTAGCCAGGATGGGCAAGGATGGTGTCCCTAGCCTCTGTTTGCCAGAAGCTGGGAATGGATGACGGGATGGATCACTTGATGATTACCTGTTCTGTTCATTCCCTCTGGGGCACCTGGCATTGGCCACTGTTGGAAGACAGGATACTGGGCTAGATGGACTTTTGGTCTGACCCAGTATGGCCGTTCTTATGACCACAACAAGGTTGGGGGTCGAGCCCCTCAGGAATCCTGGGCCCAGCATTGTTGGGGTTACGAGGACTCTGCCGCACAGGACAGTGGAAGGGGAGCCCTCGAGGTCAGGGAGGAAGTGGGAGCGAGGACTCAGATCTTTTCGCTAGCCCGTTTCACTGGGGTACTTTATAAGCCAGAAAAGTTCCCCACAATAGCGGAGCCATTCCCCCACTTACACAAGGGTTACTGTCTCCATATTGCAGTTGGGATACGAAGGGGCTAACATCTATGTGCTTTTTTTTTTTAATCTATTTGTATTAAGCCATGTCTACCCAAGGAAAAAATACATATTTTTAGTGTGTGTTTTAATCTTAGTGTAAACAAGGCCATTTGTATTTTAGGGTGTTAGCAGGTTAGGGTTCCAGCTGGGGGTGTGGGATCTGGGGAGGGGCTGTGGCAGGGGTTTGTAGTGCGGGCAGGAGTGCGGGATGCGGGCTCCTGGAGGGAGTGTTGGTGTGGGAGAGGGCTGGGGTAGGGGGTTGGGGTGCGGGTGGGGATGTGGGGTCTGGGAGGGAGTTAGGGTGTGGGAGAGGGTTCCAACCTGGGGCGGGGTTGCGGGTCCGGCTGGGCAGCACTTACCTCAGGTGGCCCCCAGTCGGTGGCACAGTGGGGCTAAGGCACACTCCCTACCTGTCCTGGCTTGGCGCGGCTCCCAGAAGTGGCTGGCATGTCCTTCCCCTAGGTGGAGGCGCAGCCAGGCAGCTCTGTACGATGCACGCTGCCCGCACCCACAGGCCCCCCCCTCTGCAGCTCTCATTGGCCATGGTTCCCAGCCAATGGGAGCAGGGCCGGA